GTGATTTTGTTCAATATGAACAATATACCAGTTTAGGAAGCTAAGATATTGTGTTATAGCTGGTTTTCTTACCTTTTTTTTACAGGGTTAGAGTGTTGATGTAGAACATTGTGTTTCAGGTTTTGAACTTGAGTATTTCTAAATGTAAATGATAAGTGTAGAGACAGCTTGGAGAAAGAGTGTAGTACAATATGTGTAATTTATAATTTATGGATATTACAGTCAATGAGATTGTGGGGAAGAAACACCGATCATTTATACCTCTACTAGCTTCTATTGGAAATGGTGTAGGGCACGTCATGCTAGGAGGTCTGGGTTTCTTCATAAAAGACTGGAGAATCCTGGCGGTCGTCACTGCCGTTCCTGTGCTTGTCCACTCTGTTTGTTTGTGGTTAGTTTTATACTTCACTTTATATTTATAACGGCTAATATTTTATTTTTATTTAGTACGTGTAACACTTTTTATTATTTATTTATAACAGTTAATATTTTATTTTTCTTTAGTACGTGTAACTCTGTTTTTTTCTTTTGTTAAATAATTGTTTTGTTTTTTAATGAGTACTAAGCTGTTGAGCCCATTCATCTCACGTGGAAGACACAGGGGGGTGGGGGAGGCAGAACCCGTTTGCATGTCTTTCAGCAATTTGTCTTCTTCTCTTTGTTTCATCAGGAGCTTTATTTATTTGACAGTTGTTTTCCCTCTGCTTCACTTATCCTAATTTCGCCAACTTTTTTGATCTCGTCGTACCATCCATCTTCTTTCTTTTTTTTTTCTCTCTCTTGGTGAGAGATGTTTTCTTTCTCGCACTGTTACTGGACTATTTTCAGTTTTATTCATAATTTTAGTTTAGAATTTATGTTATCATTGGTGTTAGAAATGTTTAATTTAAATTAAAAACTGAGATGGCTTGATGCGGTAAACACGTCATCTTTTAATTCGAATGTTAACCAATGCCTCATATCCCTGATTTAATGTACAATGTTATTGAGAGAGGTCGCTGTACGTATGGTCATATATTTAAAAAAATTGCATAAAATTTCGATATATATAGATTTTGGATGCGAGACTTCCACTTGAGAGACGAGCGCTATAACCACTGAGGCACTTTAACAGATTTTTTTCAGTTTGTTTTAGGGCCAAGCCACATTTGTCTTTCTGTTGCGTACACTAAATGGAGGGGGGGGGGGGGGGACCCGGAAGTTAGTGTTTTAAGTCCGTAGACTTACCTTTGTCTCATCGGGGGACAGTATCGAATGGGAAAATTGTTTAATTTTATTCACGTTGCGATCTCTATTATGACTAAAATACAAGACCGTTTCAGCAAATCTAATAATTTTAAACACGAAATAGTGGAATTATTTCTCATGTTTTATCAGAATGAAAGAAAACCGATTGGAATATTGATGTCGAAAACACCAATTAAATATACAATTAAATTTTAGAAAGTAAACTGAACTCTACCGACTAACAAAATAATCCAATACACTCTCAGTTAAACAGAAAAGAAAGTAGAATTAAGCTAGAGCAGTGAGTAATAACTTAAAAATTAATTAAACAGAAAAATATATTGACAAAGTTACAGCATCAGTTTAAAAAAAGATGTACACGAATGAGCAGTAAAAAACACGAAGCTTATCGACGTGAAATGAATAGATGTAGTAAAAGATACATTCAAATAATATATAGAAATATCGCGAAGTTTAGTGAAATGAATGAGGAGAGGAACTAGCACCAAAAACAGCGTTCAAAAAGTCATTAAGCCAGTAAGTTGAAGTAAAAAAAGCAACATTGTGTTCAATTTAGTAGAGAAAAAATTGTAAAGTTATCAAAATGAAATGAAAAGGAGCAAAAAATGTGCTCAAATTAGTACAAATGTGCAAAGTTAGCAGAATGAAGTAAATATGCAGCAAAAAGTTGCGCTTAGTTTAGTAAAAACATGCAAAGTTAGCAGAGTGAAGTAAAAAGTAGCGTTTAGTTTAGTAAAACGTGCAAAGTTAGCAGAGTGAAGTAAAAATGCAGCAAAAAGTAGCGCTTAGTTTAGTAAAAACATGCAAAGTTAGTAAAGTGAAGTAAGAAGTAGCGTTTAGTTCAGTAAAAATGTGCAAAGTTAGCAAAGTGAAGTAAAAATGCAGCAAAAAGTAGCGCTTAGTTTAGTAAAAACGTGCAAAGTTAGTAAAGTGAAGTAAAAATGCAGCAAAAGTAGTGTTCAGTTTAGTAGAAAAAATCGCGAAATTTATTGAAATGGAGTGAGAAGAGATAGCAGCTGTTGTTAATTGGCAAGTAAAAATGTCTGGTTTGGTAATACGAGTATAAGACGAATATATCAGCATAAAAACGTTAAACAAACTAATTCACAATAAGCACTAAAACACATGAAATAAAACTTTTAATCAATATCAAAAGGTTTAAAAAAACATATACCGAACGATCATGCAGAAGTTTGGATGTTTTAAACCAGCACAAAGTTCGGGAATTCTCTGGTAGGTTATTAATTTTTTATTGTTATTTTTTTTATCGAGCTCAGTTAATCAATTATTTCTCAAAAACGTATTGATAAAATGTCTGTCACTTTGTAAGGATTAATGTGGGTATTCTATTTTCGTCAAGCAGTTTATGCGTTTAAATACTTTTTATTTTTTAGCTAAAGCGATAGCTGTTGTTCCAATTTCTTTTGACGCAGATAACACTCTCTCAGCGTTAAAATGTAACACCCTCTCAGTGTTAAAATGTGGATAATTTGCTCTAAATACAGAATATGTTTAAGTCTTAGAAACATTTCTACAAAACAGTCTTTCTTCTGGTTTAATTTAGGATTTTGCCAGAATCTCCTCGATTTCTCTTGTCAAGAGGTCGAGTTCCTGAGGCTATGGAAGTTTTTGAAAAGATAGCTACAACAAATAAAATGGAACTCTTTCCCGAAATCGCCTTACACGAAAGGGTGAGATTAATGAATAAAAAATAGCTTTTAACAGATGTGTTCATGGTCCAAATATCCAAGTCAGAGATCCCTAGGGTTCAGGTATAACCATTCCTCATTATGAATAACTGACTAAAGTAAAGACAGACAGCAACAGCGTTTGATGACTGACCAAAGTATGGACAGACAGCAACAGCGTCTGATAACTGACCAAAGTATGGACAGACAACAACTAAGTTAAATATCATCCTCCCTCACCTCAGAGTCAGCCTTTATTATACAAATATTTAAAAATATTTTCCATAAATTCCCTTAAATTATCTGCATCCACCGCATTCGAAGGCAAGCCGTTCCAGAGGCCAACCATCTTGTTAGAAAAATAAATCTGTCTTAGCTGAAGATAATATCTTCCCTGCTAAAATGTATATTTGTGTCCGCTAGTCTTACCATTAAGTAAGAAAAAAAGATGATGCATCAACACTATCAATTCCCTGAACAATCTTAAACACCTCAACCAGATCGTCTCGGAGATCCCCATGAAATAACATTTTCATTCCAGGTATCATCTTAGAAGCCCTCCTGTGAAACCTTTCCAACAATTCAATGTCCTTTTTGATATAAAGAGCTCAAGAGTGAACACAGTACTTAATATTTAGCTTAACCATCGACCTACACAATGGTGTTATAACCTCTTTAGAACACCGAGATCAAATTGTGATCTCCCACGTGCATTATCTTGCATTTATTATAATTAAAAACTTATCTCACGTTTATTTGCCCAACTCACTAAATAATCCAAACCCTTCTGTGAGGCAGTGACATCATCCTTACAGGCACCAATATCGAAAACTTTAATGTTCTCAGCAAATTTAAATAATCTATCGACCATTTCTTCATCTATTTCATTGGTGTAAATAAAAAAAGAACAAAGGTCCTAACACTTAGCTCTGACATTAATCCAGTTTGGTTGAACTCCATTTATTACAACCTTCTGCTTTCTTCCATTTAGCCAGTTTTCTATCCAATGAGCCAACCCCTCCATCACACCTACAGATAACTTTTTTAACAAGCCTTTATGTGGCACATTTTCAGATGCTTTCTGAAAATCCAGATTCATCAAATCCATACTTGTATCCTGATTTACATAAGCATTAACTTCTTCAAAGAATGCCAAAAGATTAGTAATGCACGATTTTTCCCTAGTAACACCATATTGGCTATCCAATAAAATTTTAAGCTTTGTTAAACGACTTTGCAAAACGTCTTTTCTCCATTGATATAAGACTAATAGGCTAATAATTATAGGAACAATTCTAATCAGCTCCCTTAAAAAGAGGAATAACATTAGCCAACTTCCAATCTTCTTGCATCGAGGACTTGGAAAAAAATAATAGCAATTAATTCCCATATCCAATCATTAACTTCTTTCAAAACCCTCATGTAATACATATATATTATCTGATCAGGAGATTCATCATTCTTTAAACTTCCCAATTCTTTCTAACAAGCTAAGAAATAATATAATTATTTTGTTCAGTATTGTTTCAATTTATCAACTATTTCGGGTGAGGAATAATGCATAAATTTTCATTAGTAAAAACAGAAGAAAAAAGTAGAATTTAATAACCCAGCCATCCTATAATCACTTTTTATCCTAACATTTTGCTTACCCTTAATGTATTTGACGAAATTCTTACTATTTATTTTTACATTTTCTGTCAACCTTTTTGCATATAGTTTTTTTATTTTCTGATTTTTCCTTTTCACAAGTTCTCTTAATATTCTATAGTACTTCAAGTCTTTCATCACTGAAATGAATTTAAATTTCTTATGTTATTATAATGGAGCTTACGATGTATATACAAGTCCAAAACTCAGATCTCGGAAATTACCGCACCAATCATCACCAATCATAAGTGGGTAATATTTTTATAACTAGACAGTATTTTTATAGTAGAGCAATAAATATATCAATTTAAATTTCCAAAAAAATGGTATGTTTCAGATTTAGCCAATAAAATCACAATAAAGGCGTAAATTTCAAATATAAAACAATCAAAAAACAAACTTAATAAAATTATTGGTTTTTCTTTAGTGAAAATCTCACGAGTGTTGCAACAAAAAAGTAAGGTACTTTCATTGATAAATAACTGCGTCTACGTAGAAATACTTCAATAAAATATACTCTGTGATGTAATGCTGTGATGATAGCTCATTTTTAAACTAAAATTTCAATAAAAATCATTTTTTTCATGGATGGTGAACATTATTGATGTAAAGTATGAATACATTGTTGTATAACTTATGACGTTAGAAAAACAAGTAGGTTCAAGAAGTCTTGATAGAAATTAATAAAACCCTATAACCCGAGCGCTTTCGAAAGTTGGACCTTTTTTCTTTAGGGGCAAACAGGGTATTGTTATAGAACTGACAGACAATTCCAGTAAAAACCGCAGGCCCAATAGCCTTCCGCAGGAACTAGCAGTTATACCTGTCCGGAGGGCGAGTATTTCTGCTAGTATTTATAATGCTTTTCTATCCTTCACATCCTTCGTGAGCTTTTCTATTTTTGTACTTGCAGCTACCATTTTTGAACATGCATATCTTGAATATTTAAAAATTTATTTACAAACATTTTACCATGTTTGATCACTATCTCCAACTAATTCAGCGCAGCAGATATCTCATCTCTTCAAAATCTACTCTTATGAAATTTGGATCCAAATCTCGTATTTCCCATCTTCATATGCAGCAAAACATCAAAATCTAATTGAACAGTGATCACTTGCACTCGTATGCTTCCTCTACCCTATGAATCATTTCTTTATTAGAAGTTAACAATGAATGAAAAATAACATTGTTTCTTGTAGGTTCCTTAAGCAATTTATTATAAAATTAATTATAAAATACAGTTAAGAATGAGTTTGTTACTAAGATGTGTGTTATAAATACAATATATATATATATATACACATAAATTTATTCACTTAGAAAAACTCATCAATCTCAGACGTTTCTAAAATTCTAAGGACTGGCATCTCACATAATCAAGGTATACGAATATAACACTGATCTATATAGTCACTCTAGCTATTTGCTTTTGCGTATATTTGTTTCTTAAAATACTAAAATTCATCAATACGATAAAACAAATCAAGAAAACTTGCTCAATAGTGTTTATAATATGGTTGAATTTAATGGTGCAGTTTGCTGAAATATTTCTAATTCTTCAGGACTATTTGTGGCGAGAGGACACAGGAGAAGGCAAATTTTCTGGTTACTCTAGTCTCTTTCGAACCCCAAATCTGAGGAAAAATACAATAATTTTGATGATTATTTGGTAAGGACGGAAATTAACACATTGTCTTACTATACTGTATTTTTCTTTACTTTTAAATACACTGAGCAATTACGTATTGATATACCTCCTTTGGTCCAATAAACTAAGGTTTTCATGAACTACAAATACTGAAAGGTCGAGTTTAAATAAAGTTTTATTAGTCACATTTACTACATATGTATAAACATAAACAACCTGTGAAGCTGTTTATTTTTGTTGTTGTTTTTTTGTAGTTCCATCAACAATGTAGTTTTCTATGGCACAAGTTATTACGCTACAAAGGTTAACTCCCAAAAAAAGTTCACATTCTTGTTTGCAGCCATCATTGAGATGCCTGGATACTTTATCATGTGGATAATGTTTCACAAGTGGGGAAGAAAATGGTCTTTCTTTCTGTTTATGGTGATAGGGGGCCTCAGTTGCCTCGCAACGTTCTGGCTACCAATAGGCAAGTAACAAAATATTTTCAAGTACCGTTGAAATTAATATATTAATTGTTATGATCATATTTTTATTATCGTTAGAGTAAACATAGAACAATGAAATTTTCTTTGCAAAGAAGCGGGAGAAGAAATTTAAAACAGGCATATGTGGTACCGTTATAAGTTTACGTCTAATGTACGATCTAGGTAAAATGAATAAAACCAGAGACCATGGAGTACATCCATAAATTTATGCTTAATGTGAGCTTAGATTGAAATAATTTTTGTTTTGAATAGTATTTTTCTTCTTGTCTCTCATTTCCAAATTAGGGACGCCTAGCGCAGATAGCCCTCGTGTAGCTTTGCGCGAAATTCAAAAAACAAACCAACTTGAATTTCTAAAACAAATAACTCTCATTCTTTGTTCAAATTTCAGTCATATTTCCACTAGTGAAGATTTTTTTACAACTCTTATAACTATCTAACGTTCTGTGTAAATGTGATAAGTTGAACTGCGTTTTTTTTTCTTTTGTTTAATAAAAAAAATGCTTGTTGTTCACTGATAACATAAGTAAGCCTTTTCCTTCAATTCAGACACGTAGGAAACTCAGTTTTTTCTGTTTTTCTAATTTTTGCAGGTACTACTCTTCCTTCTAGGATTACCAATCTTTCTGAGATTACCAAAATGTTAAATAAACACTTCTAAAGTCTCTTTATTTAATGATTTTCAAAAATAATATTCATTGTTCACTTTAAACAAAGTTTCAATTAAAGTTTTATAAATTTAACCACTTATTGTTTGTTTGTTTTTGATGTTTTTCAGAAGCCAAAGAGTCTCTTCTGATATGTTACCTCATTGGTAAAATGATGGCATCGGGTACAGCAAACTTCTTTAGTGCTTATGCTGTAGAACTGTTTCCAACTTCACTGCGAGGCCGAGGAATTGGCCTATGTATGAATTTAGCGATGTTATCAAACATATTTGTACCATTTATTGACCATTTAGTAAGTTTTTGTTATCGTTTATATTTGACCGTACCATAATACCTAGAGGTGTCTGACGCAATTAGTTCATAACTAGCACTGATAGCATGTGGTGCCCTCTGTCGTTACAACAATCAACTAAGAATAACTTATCATGTAACTCGCCGATTTAGAAAACTTTTAATTATTCTAATCTTGTTATTTCACTCTTAGTATCAGCGTTTCCTGTATAGAGTGACACAAGGTTTACTAATTAATTTCATTGACCTTGGGCATTTAAACCTAATATTTATGAAGTTCCATCGAAAACTGTACTCTCTAAGTAACCTTAAAAGTACGCACAAAACATGTGATATCCCAGAAAAGAGGTTTAAGGCCCAGTTTAAGTTCAGTATGATAATGTTAAAGGAAAATAAATATTTCAAAAAGGCATATGACTGCGAAGTAATGTATAATATCATTTTCAAGTTGTATTTCTTTTATTTTAGATTATAAAAATTTTACTAGTTTTTTGTATAATAACAGGGGATTTTAGGGTATGAATAATATCATAAAAAAATACTACAATTTTTATCAGGTAATTCAGGATTGAAAAGTTTTACAATCCTGCAGTGAAATTGTTCACCTACAGAAATTAAATTTCAAGTATTATCTACCTATCAATAATAATAATAAGTTCATTATCCTCAGGATGAAGTTATTTTATTAGAAGATGTTGTTTCTGTTTAAAAAATATTCTAATAAAGTTGTTAATCCAGAAAATGTCGAATTTTTGAAATGTCAATTACTTGTTCTGTTCGGGCTTTCTTCACAAATGTATTGTTATGAATTGTATTATAGTGTCCCCTTTTTATACCGTGAAAAATGAAAATAAGGTATGAAATATCCCTTTGAATCAGATTAATCTGCTGATGTGGTTCCAACATGCTAAACACTATATGAAAGAAACTCTGTATCTTCATTAACTTTCCTTTAAAGTAGGCCTAAAGCATGGTGGAAATATTATAATATAACGTATTTAATTTCTTAACTTCTAGGGCCATGAATATCATTTCTTGCCTCTAGTCATCCTAGGCGTATGTATGACGTTCGGCGGAATACTTATTCTAGCTCTTCCCGAAACGAGAAACTGTAGACTTCCAGAAACAGTGGAAGAAGCGGAGGATTTTGCAAAGAACTGGACTTGGCGAGATTATTTACGATGTACAGACCGATCAATCTAGGTGAATGTGGACTCAATCAACGATGCAGACTCATTCTGTTAACGTTGAAAATTCTAAAAAAAAAACTCTTAGACATTAGTATAATTGAATTTTGACCTATGCAATGTTTTTATGTGAATAGTTTTTCATGGTAAGGAGAGTCTTAAGCGTTTTTTTTTTAATTCCCATTCTGCCTTCTGTAGCCAATAAATGTAACCAACCATTTGGTGGTTTCTCCTCGAAACTTTTATGCAAATCTTACTTTTTTTTTACTATTTTATTATCTGTATTTTTAATAAGCTGAAACCCAAAACTTGTTCATCTCAACCAGTATTTAGTTTCCGTTTAACTTCGGCCCGGCATGGCCAGATGGTTAGGGCACTCAACTCGCAATCTGCGGGTCGCGGGTTCGAATCCCCGTCACACCAAACATGCTCGCCCTTTCAGCCGTGGAGGTGTTATATATGTGACGGTCAA